ACTGCATAGTCTAAGCTACACTAAACTCAGACCGGCTGTGCTGCTTTACTGCTTCAAAACATGGTTAGAGCTGATGCAAGGGTGACCCCGCTTCATGGGGAGTGAGTAGGAGGAGAAAAGGCTGATGCAAACACAGAGAACAAACTTTGCTGTATAACTCTGGAGTTCTGAGATGGTGTGGGAGAATGGGGGATTTCCACTAAAAAGAGGCATCTCTGTGACCTAGGATGTCAGCATGCTGGAGAGGACCAAAAATCCAAACAAATGCTTGTTAATATTGGCAGCAGCTCAGGAAAAAGAAGTCAAGAAAGAGATAAGCAAATTTCAGAATAGGGGTAATCAGAAATTCTCTTCCCCTGAGTGCTCTCCGGCACGCCATGAGCCACCCCTCACAAATACCTGACTTAGACCTAACTGTGCACCATGAAAACTGTTTCCTTTGAGGAGGAAATTGGAAAACAGGAAACCACTGTGCCCAGAGTCCAGCTTGTGTCCTTCTGTGTCATGGCTCTGCTCCAGATGTTTCCCTGGCCCTTGCTGCCCACACCAGAATAGCTCCAGCCTGGGTGTACACGTCATGATCAGCACCATACAGAGAGTTCACCAAGTCCCTCTCTGGCTACCACTCTCCTAATGGTACAGGGCTTCAGTACAGGGTAGCAGAGGATGCTCTGGGAGCTGTGGTGCTCACTTGGTTGGAAACCGTAAGCTGAATGTGCTATGTCAGAAATAATTGGAGATAAAGACTCCCCTGGAACAAACTATAGTGCCATATCATCATCACTTTCATTATTATTATTATGATAGCAGTAAATGAACAGTAAATTAGCAATAATAATGTGTTGGGATCTATATCAAGTCTTGACCTTAAATCATTACATTTCCCAAGACTTGAATTTGAGCTCTGTGCCTGGGAAATGATTTAGCATTTCCCAAAGTATTAGCTGCTAAAATAATTAGGAGGCTGCTGGAGTTTTAACAAGCTTTGATCTGTGAGCCCAACATGGGCGGACAGGAGCAGACCATGGCCATCCAAGCCAGAGTCAAGGAGCAGTGCTAGCACAGCATCTCCTGCCCGTGGCCTCCGGCCATAACCAGTGCCATCTCCTTTTAACTGAATGTTCCTTTATAAAAGTGATTTTTTTTTTTTCCTGTAAGAAAGTTTCTTATAGTAAGTGCTTGGCTACCTAACGATAAAGAGATGGAGAGGGAAGTTTTGATACCACATGCCATAAGTGACTGAGGCTGCATTTAAAGGCAGAGCTGGTATTTCCTTCTGTGGGTACAAACATATGCAAACCAGCAGCAGCAAACTGATAAACACTGGGCAAGCTTTCAAACTGGCCAAATGTGAGTGAGCTGTTTCACTGCCAGCCTGACTCAGATGCTTAACTCCTTTGGTGTCTTTTAGTTCAAGGTGAAAAAGCACACCCTGACAGTGTTGCCAACAGTTGTCATGGTGCTGAGGTGCAGCCCCTGGGTGAAAATGCTGGAGCTGATTTTATCTTTCTTCTAATTCAGCTGTGGGAGAGGTCAGGGCACAGGGACATGCTGAAAACGGTGGCTCGGTGCCCTCTGCCAAGGGGCCACAGGGGCTTGCCCAGTTTGCAGCCCCCAGCAGCATATGCCCAGCTACCTCCTTCATTCCTGGGCATTGCCAGCCGCGTGCCAGCCCCTTTCAGAGTGTTGCCAGGACAAAGTTCGGCCAGCAGTTAAAAACTGATGTTTTAACTCGCTTCATTGTTCCTTTATGGACTCTTTATGTGTAGTGTCATTTCAGTGGTTTTCAAAGATAAAAGACTTTTTTCAAAGACTTTTTTTTTTTTAAAGTTTTTCAAAGACTTGACATTCATCGTTCATCTTAATATTGAAGAAGCAGCCAAATAATTTTGAAATTCACCTTTCTGACTACCATTCATCACAACGAAATACTCTGAAAGTCATCTTTGGCTGTAGGAAAGGGGGAGGTACTTTGTTTAGAAACAAAAAAAAAAAAATAAAAGGAGCAATATATGCTTTGTTTCAAACAATAGGAAAGAGACAAAGAACTAGGCTGAGTCTGTGCTTGAACAAACAGGAAAGAAAGGATTTGGCAGAATGAATCTAAACACAGCATGGTATTGGGAAATGCAAGTTAGGAAAATAGCCCTGCAAAAATTAGGAAATTCCTAAATACTTGCAGAGAATCCTTGTTACCATTAATTTATTTATTAGTTTTGGTAATGGAAATGTAACAAAAATGAGCTCTTTTCCACTGTTTTTGGGATTCTAGTGGGGCATCCTGACCAGAGTGGCCAGAGGGATGGGGGCATGCTCTCTTGCCCAGCCAGTAAGGGTGCTGGGGGTAGGAGTGGGTGCGTAGCTTCAGCCAAGGCTCCCAGCTGCTGGGCAGCTCCAGTGCTCGGGGCCCCTTTGCTTGCCCGCGCCACTGGCCCTGCAGCCCTGGGCCACAAGGGCTCTGCTTAGTGGTGGCCCCACGCAGCGACCCAATGCCTCTGGCAGCCTCCACCGTCCTAGTTAGCTGGAGCAGCACAGTAGGTTCAGCTTGGCACTTTGCCCTGGGCCATGCCCACCAGTGTAGCTGAGAGCCAGCCAGATGCCGCACACGCACGCCCCTTTCTCTCCTTCCCAAAAAAAGTTTTCAGCTTCACTGGGTTTTAAAAGCAACAGCATTACTAATCCTGAAGATGAGCTGGCAGACAAAGCCTGGAGAAGGAAAGCTCTCAGTGGTGCCAGACTAACTGCTCTCTATACCACCTGGCTGCTACCACTACCTTGATGCTTCAAAGCTCTCGAGCTGCCAGGAGCCAGCAGGACGAGTCGTGGGTAAAACAAAAAGCCACAGTCTTCCAACCAGCTTGCCCAGAACTAAGTATCACAGTTTGTATCAGCGTGACACGTGAACGCTGTAAACTTAACAAGGGTATTTGAAGATCGCCACAACATGGCGTTATAACTGAAGCCAAATTCTTTTATTTAAAGCCTAATTCCTCTGCCCTTACACAGTTCAAGTAAGCCAAAACATGCCTGAGAGTTGTTTGTGCAAAAGTACACTGATCTCCTAGAGTGTAATTTAAAAAAAAAGTATTGTTAGAACAAGGATTAGAAACTGAGTCACTTTATTTATCTGTAATAATTATATAATTATAATCATTACATGAATATAATTATGCAAACAAATCTATACTGATATATTAAATGATACAAGGACGTAATTAATTCTAAACATAAATTCTAAAAAGCTGTTGTTATTATACCCAATTTCTGTCATTAGTTAGGTGTCATGCAGGAGTGTTTGTGGTAGAGCAGGGCTTTGGCAGGACAACCTTGGTGTAAACAAGGCTGAAGCACCCCAAGGTGAACCTCGTGCTGTGTTCCTGTTTGCTCCTCAGCCCGGGGAGGACTGCTCTGGACGTGCAGCAGCCCTGGTCACTGGCACCCCCCATTTCAGTAGCATTTCCTTCTGCACAAGCCATGGCCCCACATTTCAATGCAAACTGATGGGACAAATTGCTCCCAAGTATTTGAAAACACCCAACAAGCCACACTGAAGCTGCAACTAGCTGTGCTGAAGTTGTCTTGTCTGGGGATGCTGTAGTCACCATGGGACCATTTAGACAGTGAGACTACATAGACTATGAGTGAGTTTGAAGGGTCTGAATGCATCCCATGCTTCTGACTGGGGCTTTTGGGCCTAAAGTGATAAGCCTCATAATGCTCATATCCTAGAATGGCTTCAGTTGGAAGGGACCCTAGAGATCTTCTAATCCAGCCACCCTGCCATGGGCAGGGACGCCTCTCAACTAGACCCAGTTGCTCAAGGCCTCATCCAACGTGGCCTTGAACACCTCCAGGGAGGGGGCATCCACAGCCTCTCTGGGCAATCTATCCTAGAGTCTCACCACCCTCATACTGAAGAACTTCTTCCTAAGATCTGGTCTAAACCTCCTCTCCCTCAGTTTAAAACCATTTCCCCTTGTCCTGTCACTGGACACTCTTGTGAAAAGTCCCTCTCCAGCCTTCCTGTAGGTGTCCTTCAGGTATTGGCAGGCAGTTATGAGGTCCCTCCAGAGTCTTCTCTTGTCCAGGCTGAACAATCCCAGTGTCCTCAGCCTATCCTCATAGCAGAGATGCTCCAGACCCTGGATCATCTTTGTGGCCCTCCTCTGGACTCGTTCCAACAGTTCTATGTCCCTTTTATGGTGGGGACACCAGAACTAGGAGATCCTGCTGTGCTTCCCACACTCCCATCCTTTCAGTCATATTTTTCACATCCCAAATGTTTCTGAACTCCCAGTTGCCTTCTCTGGGAGCTGTCCTTAATAGAGCTAAGAATTTAATTGCTGACTTAAATGGGGACACAGTTAAATCAGCAGGACTTTTGCTGAGCAAAGACCAATGCATACCTGCCTTTGTAGCCTTGTTTTCATGCTGTACTTGCAAACTCAGCATGCTGGAAGCTACATGGGTGCTTCCACAAACAGATCTGCAGCCAGATGAGCAGAGATCATCCAAAAGAGGCCCTGAGGAGGTGGGAATTGATCTTGATGGCACATAAAAGTATTGGAGTTCTGTGGCTGCTTTGAACAGGCACAGAACCCATGTCCTATCCACCAACACCATTCATATGTAACATCCAAGCTCACATATGTACTCCCACAGAATCCCATGCAAGAGCCTTGCTCTCCTGTGTCCAGACTAGCTCAAGGCTTCAAATCTCGTCTGAAACATGCTTAAAATCACTCATGAATTTTTTCAAGGTTCCTTGTTAGACCAGAGAGCTGCTTCCATCCTCCCAGTTACCTGAGGTGACGTTGCTTCAGGACTTCTCCAACAGAGCTGTGTTCATATGATACTGCCTACACAGGGACAACTAATTCTGCAATTATCTTTTTATTTTTTAAATGAGAATACACCTTGCCACATTGCACCATGGCTGTTTTTATGTGAACTGTTATAATCTGACTAGTTCTTTCTGAAATTTACAGGCTAAAAGGAAAATGATGAAAATGTTGCCTTTTTTCCAAAGTGGTCCTACTGGAATACGCAGAGGATCAGAGGGTTGCATTGGTGCAGTCAGTCAGTTTGAAAATCCTCTGACATCAGTAGCTGAACAAGTCCCTGCCTGTTCTGAACCTTCTGGAGAAGAGATCTGGTCCAGAGACCAGGAGAAGATGAGTGAAAAGCCAGAGTGCAGACCCTCACGTGCATCTTCCATCACGAGTAATGGGAGCTGCATCTCTGCTAGTGACAGCCCTGTAAAGGGGAAGAAAGGAATAAAGGAAATGCTTGAAGGTGCCCTTAAGAAAATTAAAAAGGTCAAGACACCCAGTGGTAAGTGCTCCTCCATTCTCCCTGTGCCACATCATAGCCCATAGTTAGCTCTAGAGGGGCTGCATGAGTTGAAGAGTTGTCCATCAACAGGTTGAAGTGACTTCGTCAAGGAGCCTGCGGAAACATGGGCTGAAAGAGATATGACCTCAAATCATAGGCCTTTGGTACCAAAAACACACTCCTTGAGGAACTGCCAGTGAGCATGTTTTCTGTCCAAAATGAAGATTATTTCTGCCTCTCATGGGGGCACAGAGATCTGTGGGTGGGCATGAAACCAAGGCCCATATCTCTCTGCTGTGTTCCTCCATGAAGCCGCCACCCTGTGAAACCCCCTCTTCCCTCAGGGACAGCAGCAAGCAGCACATGTGGGGCTTTTCCCAGGCTGGTATATAAATTGAACGCTCCTCCAGTTGAGGGCAACATCCCTGCAGGATGCTTTGGTAGAAAAATACCTGCTCAGAGAAATCCAGAACTGGAGAGGAAGGTGCTCCTTGGCACTTTCAAGGCTCACTTGCCACCTCAGGTTACATTTTGTTACCTGGTTCATAAACTTAGCAAGACGTACCTTAAAGTAAGTTCCTTTTTTAGTCCTACCTCCATTACTGAGGGGCTTTTTTTTTTTTATCATAGTACATTTCCAGGCAAACCTTTACCTGGCTACTTATGTTTTCCCTAACTGGTGGCCTTCCTTCTCGGCCTTGGATCGGCTCAGCTAAATGAACGGAGTCTACTGAGAACATGCCCTTCATACCTTTGCTCTTGCTGCTGCATTGCCCCATTCCCAATGTCTTGTTTTGAAATAAAGCAACCAGAATTGCAGAAAACCCTCCAGACGAGTTGCCACCAATGCGTGGTACTATGTTACCTTTTCCTAGCTCAGCTGGATATTCCTCACTGGATACAGCCTGGAGTCCTAGCTGACATTTTTTACCATCATCTCACAGTAATGATTTACTAATTCTTCAGGCATCTCTCTTTCTCGTCTGTCTCAAGCTAATTCACATCCAGTTTGCAGCAGAAAATTCTATTAGTTGCTAAGGAACTTTTGTTCTATTGAATTTGTATCTTATACTTTGTGCTATTAAATTTCAGCCCATTTACTATTCAAGTTATCCCATTGCTCCTGTATAATACACCAAGCCCTCAGTTTTGATAATGTCTGTGTAATCAGCAGATGCCAACAAGGCACTCCCAGCTTTTGTGCTGCAGTCTCTAAGGAGAATATGAAGCAAGATGAGTTTCATGAATAATGTGAACTTTCTCCACTCAGGGTTTTCCATACAAACCTTATACACCTAACAAGACTTATTTTGGGATATAACTCCTCCAGTTTAACTAATTGTTTCACAGATTGTGTCATATTGAGTAACTGTCTGTGGTTCAAATAAAATAGTTCAATTGTATTCATCTTGACTGCTAAATGTGTCCTCAAAAAAAATTTCACAGGTAAAATACTGTCCATATGTAACACACTGGTGATAACTATTCAAATTTCCATTGCCCCAGTTAGAAGAAAGCTAGAAATAATCTGATCTTTAAATAAATAGATTTTCTGTATGGTGAAGGAACCTAAGATCTACATTATAGAAATACAAACTTTTATTTTAAAAAAAGTATTCCAGAGCAATCATTTTTTTATAAAGAAGAAATTTAAATCTTCTCTGTTGGGTAAAGAAAGGCTGTTCTTTTTTCACCAGTCAAGCGAGTCATGCATCTCCTTGAAGAGCAAAAGCTTTGTGAGGCCACCCAGCTTCTGATTGTCCTGGAGAAGACCCTGTCTAGCAAAAGTGAGGAGGGACTGAATATCAGACAGCAAGACATCGAGTCTGTCCACGAAGTTCTGAAGCACAAAGTCTTCAGCATCTTGAAAGACTCTGTACTGCTAGCTAAAACAAACCCAGAACAGCTGCAGCAGGCAATAGAGGCACTGAAAGAGCAGGAGAAAGAAGATCAGAACTACACGTCAGAGAATCCACCTGACCAAAACATGCAATTTAGACCCAGAAAATGGAAAGAGCTTTGGATGGCTACAGTAAAGGAGTCAGTAGAGACACGGATGAAAGACACAAGCCGTACTCCTAGAACTGAGAACCTCTCTGCACTTGGTCAGAACCTCCTGCATATGGGAAAGACAATGAGAGAAGATTTGACAGTAGTTGTAAAGTACATTAAACAGCTTTTTCCTCCTGAGTTTGATGTGTTCAGCACATATGCCGAACTTTACCACAATTATTTTGCCTCCCAGGTGAAGAAAAATGCTGAGTCTCATCTAGAAGACAAGGATATTTACCTTCTCCTCTCATGGGTGCACAACATCTATACAAAGTAGGTGTGGCTTTCATACACTTTTATCCCCAGTGATCAGCACATGTTCATTTGCTTGGTTTATGAATGGGTGTCACTACAATGCAGTCTGGCACCCGGCCAGCTTCTGGCTTCACGGGCATTGTGCTGATGGACGCTAGCTGGCCAGGACAGCCAGAAGGGACACACTCAAAGCCCTAGTCAGGGCTGTCCAACCACTCAGGCTTCTGGGCAACAGACATATACACAGATCTTAAGGGATTCACTTCTGGGGTAAATTGGGCAGGTTCATTGTCCTGATTTCTATTCCAGTTGCAGACCCGAACTCATTCTTGGAACATTTGGAAATTTCATCCCTCTGGACCAGAGGGAAGTCAATAAATAGAACAACCTGAGATGCAATTATCCTGGGCATGGAGGATGTTGCTTAGGGGTTATTGACTATCTACGCTCTCCTCCCAGTTAGGAGACCAAAGGGTGCACCTCTGTGAGAGGACATCATCAGTCAAGGGGTGCCCTTCATCCTCACAAGCTCCATATGTTGTAGAACTGAAAATATTGCTTGTTGTGGCCGGTAGTACTGGACAGAGAATCAAGGGCTGTCTTCTCTTAGGTGAAAACCAGTACATACACCAGCAGTGTTTCTTCTGCTCTTCTAAAGCTATTCAACCTTCACCTCTACTTTTTCCTTCTTGTGTTTCACTGACAGAATATAATGAGTCAGTGTTGATCCTGGATGTTTTCCAGAGCCTGTGCTGTACTCTAGGTCATGATATTCAGGCCTGAACCAGCATGGTTTTGGAAATCAGTAGCTGCAAGGAGCAGGGCTCAGCCAGAGCAGCAGCTGAGAATAGTATAAGCCAGGGCAGCAGCTGCTTTGTGGGGTGTTCCCAGAGGCCATGTCCAGGTGTCTGCTGAGGGACCACCTCTCTCCATGGCTGGCAGCAAAGGGAGCAAGGAGGAGGAGGAGGAGGAGGAATGTGGTCCAACAGCCTGGCCCCGGCTTCCAGTGTCCTATCAGAAACAGCCCGTGTGTGGGAAGCACAGCAGTGTAGCCATGTGGAGCTGGGCAATGTGCAAACATGGCTCTCGGGTGATGTTCAGGGTTATTCTCTGCAACCCCAGAAGGAGAGGCTGCTTCCAAATCAGTCCCCCAACAACAGCTGTCTTGAACCTCCCACAGCTGGCAGATCCCTGCCCTCAAAGCTGCTCAGGAGCACCTGGCTCAGCCAGCATGCAGTGGGGAGATGACAGGAGGGTGTGACACCACCTGCTCCATTCCCAGCTAGCCACAAAATGCCATCTTCTCATCTGATCACGTTGCTATATTGATGGAGAGAGTCTGTGTCCTGTGCTTAGACTCTTCTGCTTGCTTCAGGTCCCCCATCCCCACCAGAGCACAGTGGCTGATGCTCAGGTGCTTGCCAGAACATGACTCCGTTGCTCAGTTTCTCAGGGACCCACCCTCACAGGTCCCGCCCCTGGCACAGATTCAGCTTCTCCAGATCCTGCCTGCACTAAGGACAATGTGCATTTCCATCTGTTTTTTCACTGGCAGCCTCAAAAAGTGTTGGTGATTCACATCAACAGCTGTATTGAATTATACTGACCTTGGAAAATGTGATTGTTTGGCTTTTTCATTCCAGAGATATGAGAAAAGATCCTGTTTTAGCAGAAGAGTTGGAAAAACTTAAGCTTGGAAGCCTTTTGCCATCAAGTCTGAGCAAAGAGCTTGAAAAGAAATACCTTGACAGTGAAGAGGTAAGAATCTCTTCAGTCCTTCTTCTTCCCTTTACTGCTCCCGTATGACTCCTCAGAGGAGCTCTAGCTTGTTCTGCACATACCCTTCTCACCTATGAGCCACACGTTCTTCCAGAGAGAAGCAAGAGCAAGATTACTTTTATTTCTTTTGGGGGGACAGATCAGCTTTCTGCTAGGTGCGACTTGCAGAGCAAGATTCTGCTTGGCCCTGGGAACCATCAGAAAATAACTGCTCTCTTCTTGAAAACCTTGTGGTAGAGAGGTGGGGAAAATCCAACAACAAAACTTTATGGGTAATTTTCCAGTTGTCTGTTAAATCTCCAGAGGAATTTATGTTCCCTCTGGCAGATGATGGACACAGAATTACTTCTGGTCTCTACAGTGGTGCCAGACCTTGGGTGAGCACAAAGCATGCAGGTCTGGTCTTTAAAAAAATGTTTCTTTGATGGAGAATCACCTGGTCTGCAGAAAATAACAGTTACTCTGGCTTTTGGATCACTCTTGACTTAATGGAAACAAGAAGCAACTTTTACAGTACTCCCAAAGCTTAGTGCTTTTGGCATTGTGGGCTGGAATTCCCAGAAAAAGAGAGGACAAGTTCCAGGTTTAGCTGAATCTGTGATGGTTTGCATATGGGAGAGGTGAGTGTGAGAGCTGCAAAGGGCACAAACAAGGCACTTCAAATACATGACAGTCACTGTACAGACCATTTCCAAAGCCTTGCTGCACAGTGTGCACAGGAGGGGTCGGAGCACAGAAAACCTGGGAAAGTTTCCTTTCTCTTTCTAGTGCTCCTAAGACGTCAGAAACCCTCATGAAAGAAGGACTGCAAAACTCAGTAGCACTGCGTGTGACATGTAGGCAATGTGTGGCTGGGGGAGTCTGGGCTCTGGCACATGCAGCTGCCTGCAGCCTTCCCACCCACCGCTCCCTCCCCTGCCCTCCAGATCACCAGTGATGTGGCAGGGGGACAGGCAGGGACGTAGATCTTCATCTTCATTCCCGTCCTGAAATGTTAACTTACTATTGCATGGGTGGATATTATAATTTGCATAGGGGTGTGACAGAAGAGTCCTTACTGTCGTGAAGTGGTGGGCCGTAACAAAGAGCCTTTATTTCTCATCAAGGGCTGAGGAAAAAGTCTCCTGAGCCAGATAAACAGTAGGCAGGCGAGTAAAGCCTGTATAAGGTAGGAGCTGCTACATCCACTTTGTGGTAAATGTTCTTGTTCTTCCTTCCCTAAAGGCTACTATCAAAAATTCACTGAGTAAATGTTTAGATAAAGAAATCCAAAGATGGAAAGAAGACAAAGAACCAGAGAAACTAAATGGGCATTTTCAGAGTGAACTACTAGCCATATTTGTTATCCAGGTAACACATATTTATGTGAAAAATAAACAATTGCATCCTGCTTGTATTTAGGATTTGAGACCAACTGTTGTCAATGCAGCAAAGGAGAAGGTCAGGTCACTTGTGCAGGGCTGTAGTAGAGGTGGGTGGTACAGGGGAGCCCAAACCCATGACCTGGGATGGTCCTGGTCTACCATATGCTGGAGACAAACTCCTCTATAAGCAAAACGAGCAGGCAAGCTGCCTTCACTTCTCCCTGTGCAGTCTCTTCTGCGCCCCGCAGCCGACGAGGAGCTCACGGAGCAGCGGAGAGGCAAGGCAGCTCCAGGCGAGCAGGGCAGACTGGGTGCGGCCGGGGAGACTGACGGGCAGGGCTGCCCTGAGTGCCCAGCCCCCTTCCCCGCAGGCAACACTCCCCCTCCTCTGGCCGCAGAGAACGAGTCGGTTTTGTTTTTAAAAGATAACCCTCCCGTCTGATGAGGTAGCCGTGCTGAGGGCCTGTAGCGGCTTTAAGCAGCAGAGCTGTGCGCCGGGAGCCGGCCGCTGACCCGCTGTGGTTTGTCTGGCAGGGCCTGTACAGCGGGCAGAGGCGGGCCCAGGAGGTCAGCGCGGCAC